TAGAGGATCGCGACCCGGGTCATCGGGTACAGTACAAGTGATGTTCGAATCATTTTGATTCGCTCGAACACGATCGACACAGCTCTAGTGGTACGAACTAGATAGGACCCAAAAAACCGGTGGCGATTCTCGCGCCGTCTCGGGAATTTCAACAGTTACCGCATCGTATCTAGTTTATACTTGATATTTAACTATGTTACGTACAATTTCTGTACAAATAGTTCCGATTAAATTGAGCCTATGGGTTCAAAAGTAAAAAAAAATTGAGTTTTATAATGAGCAAATCACAAGGAAAAAAATGATCATTTGAACCTTAAACTTACAAAATTAACGGTTTCAAAATTAAACCGCTTTCCTACAAATATTATAACCAGAGCTCGTTATTATATAAATTTCAAGTAATTCACATTGAGTGTACAATACCTCCCTCTGAAATCCGGGAGTTATTAAAAATAAACGGCATAAGTCAATTCAAAGTAGTTATATTTTGACTTACAAATTTTTTTTTCTAAATACACTACTACCTTATACACATTAAACATGAAGAACAAAATGCAATATATAATAATTTCAGATCTTCAGAAGGAGGCGTAGTACATCCTTTTGGATTATTACATCTATGGGTATTATGAATTTTAGGTACACTCTATTTATTTTATCGAATATCATTATGTCTTTACTATCATGTTTCTACATTTTTTTGTGAGAATACTCCACGAATTTGTTCGATAGAACAAATAAAGAAAAAAATCCTTTGATCCGGCTGGATTTTCAATTGGGTTTCGGAACAATACATGTACTCTGCTATACCGATCTCTGGTTTATAACAAATAACTATAGCATAATATGATTATTGATTCCATACAAAGTTATTTGATGAAACATATACACGAAAAAATAGGCAACTTTGAATATAATTACTTAGTATTATTATATTTATTTCATAAGATCGATATGAATGAACATTATATTTTATAATACTACCCCACATTTAAAAACATTCGTTCAAACGACCTTTTAGTGCTGATTTTGTTCCGCACGTGTATAGATCCGCGTCGAGGTTTTATAGACACGGGATACTTTATAGTCTGTCTTTTGAAGAAGACGCGAGTAAAATGACATTTGTAGAATTGCCAGTTTCCATAAAATTGTTAAGGCATGTAATTATTTGTCGATAGTTTTATCGATAGATTGTGTAAAGAACGTCTGAATTTTGAATGTTACGACGTTCTAATGATTATTACTAATTGCGTTATTGCATTCTTATTTTGACAGTTGGCTTACTAGTATCGAGATCAATTACATGTACATTTTAATAAAAACAGGGAATTCGATTATTTGAAAAGACCAGAGAAAGAATGATCAAAGTCACTTGATAACATGTTTTGAGTTAATAGTTTGGTAAACGCTGAGCGTATTTTGTATAAAACAGAAAAAAAAATAGGATTTCACGTCGTAAAAAATTAGCTTTTACTTTTCGTAAAAATGCTTGCGACCAAATAATAGAAAAGTTAAAAATGATTTTTGAATGTTTTTTTAGTAAAAATAGAAAGCGGTACATACATTTATGTCAGCATTGACTTTACTTCAGGTAGCATAACAATTTGTGTGTGTTTTTTTTACCAACATTTAAAAGTTATTTTGTGCTAAAACACTCCTCGAGTAACTTGATCATTCTTTCCCTGGACTCTTAAGTTGTATCGAATTAAAATGAAAATCTTTAAAACATGTATCCTCTTTATATTTTTAATAGACATAATTCTAAATGAATCAATAAAAAAAAATATACAGTTCAAATGAACCTGCGCCCGGCACATTTTTTTTTTTAACACTCAGACGATAGTCGATTCATCGACTGCAATCACTAGCTCCTTGCAAGCGGGCAACACTTTTGCCTGCCAACTCCCAACTGCCAACATCAACTGCCATTTTACTCCAGCTTCCAAAAAGACATACTATAGGTGACAAAGTGCGGAGTGAAGTCCGCGTAACAAGATATATTCTCTAAAGGCCAATACACAAGAATGCACATCTATGAATATATTGACTATTAGAAAAACACAGTTATAGCTAGTTCACACCTTTATTAGTGGAGCGGTGAGCGATATCAATGTCATTTAATTCATGACAAAAATTTATCGCCGGAGTGACCGAGCGCGACAGAAAACTCCCATCCCTCCCCTACCGGTGGTGCTACCTAAGACGCGATCTTGCTTAAACAATAAAACTAGTGAATTGTCACAAACACCCATGAAAGTATATGAATGGGAGGCTACAACACGGAAGCCGGCTTGATTAAAAAAAAATTTTGAAATGTCAATCAATTATTATTAATAATTATTATTTAATACATATCACTCATAATTAAAATTAAACAACCGCATTAAATATTGCTTTTAAAAAAATCACTTCACACAAGCTTCTTTCATTTCCAATGTAGCTTATTCCGCACTAGACACACACGTTACACGATGTAAAAAATTTTGCTGTATTAAAACTAATGATATACGTATACCTTTCGGCCGCCATCTTTGTAACTAGCTTACGAACACATTTTTTCTCGGCCTTCTACCGGGTGAACAAAAAATTATATTCTTGTTCTCTGTTTATATTTAACCACTAGTTATGAATTACTTATGACACAAATGTTTTCCACATTTGTGTTTCATTCTTGCAACTGAGTTGGTTGTTGACAAGTTCAATATGGACTCGCCATTTGCATTTCTTTGACTACATGGACCACGTGACCTGGCAGGTTACAGATGACAGAACGGAAGAAAACTTTTTGAGTGGGGATCGGGAAATGCACCCTCTAATACAAATTATCTGGGGCACAATGTGGAAATTGGCATCATCAACTAAAATGCGGCTTAGGGACAAAATATTTTTTTGAGATATTATAAAAAAAAATTGTTCAATGATAATTCAGTTATGCATCGTTAGGGTAAGTTCCGATAAGTCAAATACGTTAAATAATTTACCTGTTTTTATAAGAGAATTTTGTGCTCTATCTTTTGCCATTTGAAACGAATATTTGACCATTTGTCACTTAGCCGAATTTTTGTTAGTGGACGCCTGTCACTACATTTATACATCTGGGTCTCCTCCCAAGCGAGGTTTTAGATCATAGTCCGCCATGCTGGCATAATGCGGATTGGGGACTTCACACGTTCTCCGAGGGTTGTGAACCTTCTTCGACGTGCAGGCTTCATCACGATGTTGTCCTTCACCGAAAAGCTCATGACGAATTTCAAATTAAAATTTCGCACATAAGTTCCGACAAACTCAGAGGTGCGAGGCCGGATTCGAACCCACGGCCTTTGCTTAAGAGGTGGTCAAACCATTAAGCTACCACGGAAGTTGCTAGCTGCAGCAAAATATCCTTCTTAGACTAACTGCAGTATATGATATTTTTGTCGTATGTAACAACGTAAGACGTAAGAGCAGTGGCAGCCTAATGTGGCGACAAGTACCTAGACTTTAATTTCTATTGCCTACGTTCGTGAATATTTATAGTCTAGCCAAATTTGATGTACAATAAGTGACCTCCCACACTAACGTCTTTCATAGCGCCGACACGAAGTCCTGCTGGCGTTGCGTCCACAAATTACGTTCGTGTTGACGTTCCACGTACGTTAGCAAGACGCTGACGCTCGAAAGACGCTAGTGTGGGGGGTATGTAGATGTAGGGCAGATGTAGATCTGCCGTCCACTAACTAAAATCCGTTTTAAATAGGAAACGATAGAGCACTAAATTCTCTTTTAAAAACTGTCAAAATTAGTTAACGTGTTCGTTACTTATCGGAATTTACCCTAACGATGCATAGCTTACCTTACTTTAACTGCCTCCGTGGCCGAACGGTTACCATGCCGGACTGCCACGCAGAGGTCCCAGGTTCGATTCCCGGGCCGAGAGAAATAATTATATGGCCTACAATTATTTCTCTCGTGAGTTTGGGTGTAATTTGTGGTTGTCTATGTGTGTGTCCATGGCACCCGCGACACAGGGTTTCCCTAATGCGGGGCTATGTTGAGTGTGTGCGTTATTTATTTATTATTATTATTATTATTTATAGCTGAAATATCATTAAACAATTTCAATATTCTAAAACTGGGTTATGGTTTTTTATGATATCCGCGTTTTAGTTAGCAGACGGCAGAAATGTCAACAAACAAAACCATATGATTTTTGGGGTGTCTACCTCAGACCAGAGATGGACAGTGGGTTAAAACCATGTTAAAACCCGATCTTCTCGCCCGGGTTTTTCTTTTTCATTTCTGCCCAAAATCGTGGGCACAAACGGCGTATATGGAATTTGATATCATTCTATATTTATAAACAAATTTCGATGTAAAAAAAATATTTTTCTAATTTTTTTTTTAAATAGGCAACTCTACACAATACCCACCGTGCAATCCTGTGGATTCTCACTACTACGCTTGCACATTACCTATCTAACGATTTTTTTGTGTCGATTTATCTCAATGCGATTTTCAAGCGAATCGATTCAAAACAAAGGCAAATCTTATCATCTAGACAGCAATAACATTCTGTAATAATATCATTACATTTGAACAAACCTCGATTTACAACTAGATGTCGGGCGTTAACCTGATTTAAACCAGGCGTTTACGAAGTGCCGGGTTAAAACGCAGGTGCTTGCCCATTCGATTACGCTGTTGGATGGACCAGACCATGGACTAGTAACTCAAGACAATTCCTGATGTCTTGTATCTACTGTTTTTTATGTCTAAATTTTGGTTAGACACAGTGAAACTAGTATATTGTTACATGTCAACTTCTATACAACCTGTCTGTTCACAAGCAAATGAATTATCAATTACTTTTATGCAGCAATAAAATTACCATTTATATATATATTTTTCATTATCAGTTATTTTCAACTTCTAATTCATTTGTGCAATTCATTAGAAAATAAAACAATTATAAAAAAAGAATTTCGTATAAATAAATTTCTTCAAGATAAAAATGTGCAGTTTTCACATTATTTTATTCCCAATTTCCCATGCATATTTCTGTAAGTCGGTCATGGCGACTTTTTCTAAAAAAATGTGTGGTCCATATTGAAAGTGTCAGCCAATACCACCAACTACTAGCCTAAAGTACTCCACTGTTGGACAAGGGCCTCTTCAAAAAGCAAACGAGGCATAATTGTCACGGTTAGCAGACTAAACACAAGATTCATATTTCTCTTCCTTGTACATTCAACAACAAGTTGAGTTTTTTACACTTCGGACTTCTACCTAATCTAAGTGGTATAGAGTCGAATTTCAATTATTTGTCTATACGCAAGGCCAAATCGCCACAGTTAATTTGTTACCAGTAGGATTTTCTAACCAATCGCATGACTTTAATATCACGAGTACAGCCGACCAATCATAAAGCTTCCGTATCACGTGATAAGTGGTGGGAAAAACTGACCAATCAAATGGCTTATAAATCAGAGTGATAAAACCTACTGCTTTCATTCTAAAATAAAGTATCATTCACTATCCCTATCAATTAACACGGCCAACATTGGCCATTCATTGGACAACTTTAACTTGAATGAATACCAACGATTACTTTTTCATATTGCAAATAGGAACTCGGAAACGGAGACATAAGGATAAATTTTCAATAGTGATTTTTACAGTGTAGAATAGTTGTGACCCACCGTGCATAATCGGTAAAAGTCTACTTTCCATCTTCCTTTATCGTCCTCGTTCGTCCCTCAAAAGCAATTGTCAATGGCCATTGACGATGGTTTCTGTTTCCATCGTGGAGCCGTTGAGGTTCGCTTCTTTGATGTCAGTCAGCTGTTCAGAGTATTCCGTATATATTCGTTGCCATCGCAGGTGACGCACGAGTAGGGAGAGCATTTCTTCAAGGAGATCATGTTTTTTGAAACCCTGGAAACAAAGAAAGCTTGTATGTACGTAAATTCATAACAAGGCCCGTTTATACGGAGAGTTTCTCGTCTCTGAGATACGATAAAGAACTATCCACATTCATCAGGGCCGTGCCCAAACCGTGGACGGGCCGTATTAGTTTGTATGAATTCCGGGTCTTACCCGGAATTCATGTGTATGGATAATACTTTATCCCTAATGTGTATGGATAGTCCTTTATCGAAATAATTTACAAAAGTTTCTTCGCGATTAGCGCCGTTACACGTGGACATTCGACACTTTTTTTATGATACCTAGTGGCGGGAAGAACAAGTCGTTAACTAAGAAAATTCCTTCAATCCGGATAAATAACTTGTGCTATGGAAATCGGGAACACCAAGACAATGTAAACCAATGCTGCCCTGAAGGTTGAGCAGTTGGGGAGTTCCGCCACAATGTGAGTTTGTGATGAGAGTTTGGACCCTCACCACATCAACTGTTGACCTTCATGACGGAGGACTTTTGGCCGAAGGGTGTCATGTTAAGGCGTTTCCGAGGACGGCCACCGGACACCCACGTTGCGTCACACGTCGCGGTTCATATGTGTAAATAAATTAATTGTAACGTACGATTTATTTATTTACACGTATATTATAGTGTACCTGCCTGTCCCCAGTTACGTCAATTTTTTATGTACTTAAGTGATTTCCCGAATCCCGAACAGATCCAGAGCGACCTAAAAAATATCGTCGTGAGGCAGTCTCCATTTTCTGTCTATGTTCCTCGAAGTTTAGGTAAAAAAACTCAACCTATTCCGATCCCTGGTTATTTTGTATGTCAGTCTATAAGGTATGTATTTATGGGTCTTTTGTAACCTGAATATAAATAATTAGTTTTTCTTCATTGGCCGGGGATCAAACCCGGGACCTCATGAGATGGCGACACCATCAAAACCGGTGTGCATGCCACTCGATCACGGAGGTCGTCATCATCACAAAATAACTATAGTTTCACTGTGCCCGGTCATTTGTGGCATATTGAAGATACATTACGTACTTATGCAGTAAATAAAAATCATCAATAAACATAAAACGATGTTATCAAGACGAGGAACAAGGCAGAGTGGATAAAAGACGGAGACCACAGATAAAACGGATGTATGTTACTTACCAATACTGTTGATTGCCACTTCTTAGGCGTAGACGTACAATGGCTGGGACCCATCATGTCGTCTAAAATTGTTCTCAATTGCTCTTCTGTACCTGAAAGTGTATAAAAAGATTTTTTTGATGATTGATACTATTCTAAGGCTTAATACATGCATATAAAGAAACGTTTCAATCGTCTATTGTCTAACAGTGACTTTTTATTTTATATAATATCAAGAGACGGGACGAACAAGTCGTGCACCTGATAGTAAGCTACACGCCTGTCCATTACAGTTGCAGTGCAATCAGATTTTAAATCGCAAAGGTCTAAAGGGCACTGCGCTCATCACCCTGAGACATAAGTTAATAAGTCCCGTGTGCCTGTACCAAACCAATATATATAATTTCACCAGCACCCTTACCATTTAAAACCGGAAAACTGTAACACTGACATTACTGTTTGGCGGCAGAAATAGGTAAAGTGGCAGTACTTCCCTGGGCGAACTCTTTCACAAGAAGCTCTACTGTTACTATAATTATTAGGTGCGAAAGAAAAAGCTATACTTCTAAATATCCTATTTTCGAATGTGATAAGTACTGTATAATCTATGATATGGCAAAATGAATCTAACACTACCTTTGTTTAAAAACAATAAACTAACTGACAGTTAACATTATTGCTAGCAACACTGACCTTTCAGTTAATATTGTTACTAGCAACACTAAACTGTTACTTAATATTGTTACTAGAAACTAGATACACTGATTATCACACATAGGGTTACCCATCACAAGCTAGAAACATGATTTATAGAATTTTGTTTCTCCGAAAACCTTTAGACTTTTATTGAATAGATTTTGTTTCATTTGTCCGAAAACATGTTACGGTTTTTTCATTACACCATTTAATGTTTCACTATTTTAACATATTGACAAGTCATTATTATCCTGATTTTTATTTCCCCAACAAACCGTTTGACCAATGTATCTAATTGAATATTTGTATTTTGTAATAAAACGATATCCATGATACATTTTTGTTATATTATTTCTTATTACTTACTTACTTTTAGTACCTGTAGGATATATCGCACAATACAACTCGTCAAATTAAAGCACCTCGCATCTTTAGAAAATATGGTAAACGAGATGCAAGTTTATGTGATCGAGTTGTAGTCACTCGCTTCGCTCGATAGGATCGTGCTGCTTTTTCATATACTAACCTAACCTAAACCTACAGGGTCGTACCGTCTAGGTAATGCAAACGAATTCGGCTCTGGCACTCGCCGGTCCCTGCCGCGACACGCTCGCTATGCTCTCTCGGCTCGTGCGGCATTTTCATATACTAACCTAACCTAAGCCTACTGGAGGGGATCGTACCGTCTAGGTAATGCAAACACACAAAAAACAGGCTCTGGTACTCTCCTCGATTCAGTCATAAGTTATTTATTGAATACTCAAGACCATTGTTTTTAAATTACATTTCAGATAACAGCAAAAACATAGCACAATGGTATGACGAAAATTACGTAAGTGGACTTGCTGTGCACCAGCAAAGTACGGTCCAGAATTTTGGAGCTGTACGGTAAAATTGTATGGCGGTATAATTTTATCTAAGAATAGTAATTTTGTCGAAACCAATTTTCAGCAATCTAAATTATATGGAAAACAGACAGTATAATAAACATGATTAGATCAAACAAACTTCTGCCCAAAGAATACGTATGTGTAATAATTATTCTACCAATAGGTTTTCGGACAAACGATACTTCTGCTATAAGACATTTCTGTGTTGCAAATTTATACCAAAACTGTCATCGTAGTAATGAAAAAAAGTTGAACGAAAAGTCGGTTTTCGGAAAAAAAAAATTTGAGTTTGTGATAGGTTACCCACACATAGTTGGTAGATCTGTAAATCAATTAAAACACAGTTTCTATTAAGAATCTGTCAAATTTTTCATAATGTTGCCATAAATTCCATAAATTTCAATTTCCATAAATTTTCTGACAACTTTTGACAGAATTATTACTGACACCGGTGATCGCCATAATTTTTATATTGTTCTTATAAACTGACACTGGCCCAAGCCACTAGGCCGTCATAAAAGAAAAAAATAACAGTAGCGGTTGACAGCGTGGCCATTTATACCATAATTTCTATTAATTACCTGTCAACTGACGGATAATTACTTTCTACTAAATTTGATTGTACCGCAGTCCTTGAATGCAATAGTCTTTGAGCAGTGCTTGTTACCAGCGATGACCTACGGCTCTGAGACGTGGTCACTTACTATGGGCCTCATTTAAAATTCCAAAGTCACGTAACGAGCTAATTAGCGAGCAATGCTCGGCATTTCTCGCTAATGACCCAGATGAATAATGAACCAGAAATGAGGAGATCCGTAGAAGAACGAAAGTCACCGACTTATCCAAAGGATTAGCAAGCTATACAGCTCGCAGAACTGATGGCCGTTGGGGCAGAAAGATACTCGAATGGAGACCAAGAACCGGAAGGCGTTCAGTGAGACGGCCCCCTACTAGATGGACGGATGACCTGGTAAGGGCGGCGGGTAACCGAATGAACGCACGTCACGCCCGATTGGCTAGTCTGGAAATCTTTGTGTGAGGCCTATGTTCAGCACAGGACGTCTTCCGGCTGATATAATGATGGTGATGATGAAATTTGATTGTTAGATTAGTAGTTGTCCCTATCTGCCGACCCGAGCGATAGGGTTTTCCGGAGAGATTACGGGCTCGACGGCAAGACAAGGGTAGAGCGGGCGTCCGGGTCAAGTCCTCCGCCAGTGATACGCCTTTGCTCTAGTGGACCCGGAGTTGGGTATGGACTCGCTGGGGTTTGTGGTTAGCTGCAGCGACGGACATGTTTGTCTGCCCCGCTTGGGTCTATCTCGTGAGCAGCTAGCGCGTCTTAGTAGCGGTCTACTTGAGGGTCTGAAGCGAGAAGACGCACGGGACACTGCGACTGGCATCTCCGGCACTAGCCCGGAGAGCTAGTAGAGGATAAGCTAGATATCCTCCAGCCGCTCAGGTTATTGGGAACTGAAGAGACGTCGATTTTCGGCGTCGGGAAGATACGTGCCTTACAGCTCTGCCATCAATGAGGAGATTTGGTAGTGGACTCAGAGTCAATGGCTTTGGGGTGGCAACCGCTAGTTGTACCTATCTGGTACCTCCGGTACCTATCTGGAAAATAGGGAGGATATTGTACGTGCTTCCGGGGCTGCTCACCCGAGACTCGAGCCCCTCGAAGAACCGGATGAAGTCATGTGACAGAGGTCTGTGACAACCCTGTACACTGGCTGATCTGGGGTCAGAACCCGAACTACACTATAAACACTATAAACAAAACGGCACTATAAACAAAGCTTATGTAGAATAATATGGGACTAAACTATAGCTTAAACAGGAACACTGAACTGGTAACACAAACTAGCAAGTTGAGGTTCCATCCAAAAACTTACACCATCGATTACCACCAACTTATTTGCACGAAGTTTATATCGGTTTGTGTTCATCTTAATGCTTACCATGGTTGACTAGGTGACCAAAGAGTGAGATGATCCAATGTTTGTAGTCTTTAGCGAGTCGTAAGTGCAGGCAGGATGCGACTTGAGACTCTAGCCAGCTGCGTGCTGCACCCGTACTGTACGAGCTGTCATCAAAACAAAATAATTGTATCAACAATCTAGATTATCATTTTACAGCCGAAATGATATTGGATTATTCTATAATGCAGTTTCTTTGGTTTTTGTTTTATGATACCAAGTAAAGGGACGAGCAAGACTTGCGTCTGATGGTAAGCGACACGCCTGTCCATAGCAGTACCAGTGCCACTCAGAGCTTCAATCGTAAACATTTGAGGGGCACTGCTACAGCGTCTGTCACCCTGAGACATAAGTTGACAAGTCCCATGTGCCTGCAATTTCACCAGCACCTTCAATACCGGAACGCTGTAATGCTCACATTACCACTTGGCGGTAGAAATAGGAAGGTGGTAGCACTCCCCTGAACTAACTCTTCGACAATGACCTCTAGTGCGACTAGGTTCGTTTCAGAGCACTGACTTTGGATACGTAATGATGTTAGGTGATTAATAGTATATTGTGTATTCAGGGCGGTAAATAAGAAATTACGAACGAGACTCTATTAGAAGTCCGAGGTCGAAGACTGGGGGCTTTCGGAGCCGAGGTTCGTAATTCCTGTAGCGCCCCTGTTTTTCATCACACTTACACGTAAATAGTGTGCCTTAGTCCAGCGTGACCATGGTCGAGTTTTTGAAATTTGACCAGCCAGAAAAAGTCGCTATTTAGTCGGTTCTAGTCGCAAAAACCTAGATTTAGTCGGCCCGCCGTTCAAAAGTTATAAGGGTATTGCACTGTCCACGATGGAATAAACTTATTCCAGCGGCACCATTTCTCAATCTCGAGAACCACAACACCTAGCTTAGATCTGATTACACTAAAAAAAGTCGTCAATTAGTCGTAAACAACTAGATTTAGTCGTTACACCGTTTTGTAGTTATTAAGGTGTTCTACTGTTCCGCTGAAATAAGCTTATTCTGGCGGCAGAACTGACTAAATAGCGACTTTGTTTCTTTCTGGCTAGACAAATTTCAAAAACTCGACCACGTGAGTAGTATGATTGCATGCAGGCTAACTTCAATATAATGCCCCAAATAAAACCCCTCGGGCCTTTTTTCTTCTCATTACAGCCCGGGTAGCCTCTCTTGGACTCTTCAGCGCCCACTGGGGGGTAGGGACCACTTTGGGCAAGCAAGGTCTAATTGGACAGTGTCATGTGAGATGAGAAATTGCTTACCAGGAGTTGTAGGCGCCGGAGCCGGCGCTGGCCCGGCCGGCCTTGGCGGCGGGGTACAGCGCAAGCGCGGCCCTCGGGGCCCGCGTGGCCGCCTGGCCCGAGCACGCTCGCCACACCGGGTCCCCCACGTCCGCCCAGATCACCCTGCGGGCACGTCGAGGGCAATTTAGAACACTACATATTTTGTCCAGCGAGAGTAAAATTGGAAGTAAAGAAGGAGTAGACATGGAGGTTACTAAATTGTACCTAAAACGCCACTTTTGGAAGTAACGAATTTTAACAAATCAATGCACGCTGTGTACGCACGTCTAGAAGGTCTTAACTAACATTTCAATACGTATTGCCTATTTTATGGCATACGAAATTAATCAATGAAATGTAGTTACCAGTAAACACCATTTTGTAATAATTACAAAATGCCAAGTCTTAATTTTAATTCTCAATCGTGTAGATCACGTAATAGACACTTGTTTCATTAACAGAGATCAAAATAGTATCAATAGGAAGTACTTGTTATTGTATTGTATGTTGTGCTATATTTTTTATTTATAACTGGACGTAGTTAAGCAAAAAGGATACAATCCACAAAATTATCAAAAAATGTATTATGGGTATTAAACGGTTTCTAAAGTCTAACCACTTAGATCAACAAAAAAATCCAACATGTAAACATAAATAAATATCTACGGAGTTAAATGACATTGTAAGTTTTGAAAATAAAACAACAGTAAGAAACACTTTTACATTTCAAACTATTATACTCGAAAATGACTGGATGCGCATTGGATCCTTTTTGTTTGACTACGTCTACTGTAGCCAACCATTTATTTTGCTCTTGACAGCTCGACTACTAATTCATTTAGTGATGACCTAATGCGTTACCGACTCGATTTCTTATACCAATCGACTTTATTTATGAAGAAGTTTTAATCGTAATTTGAATTCGTACAAAAACAATGAATTCGTTAAACAAAAAAAAATTATCTGATTTAACACCGTGACATTTTCAACTTTATTACAGGTAGTAAGAAATGGGGTAACGTGCGACCTCGGTGGAACAGTAAACAATTACAATTTATTAAACATGTACCAAAACCTATATAACGGAGAAATCATCTTGAATAAACTTCGTTACATAATCTATCGCCTTGATAAATATCGGGATCGGAGTTAAAGAGGACGTTGCTTCACTATAGTAAAGAAAAACAGAGCACATGAAGTATTTAATTTTTTGTCTATGGTTGCTTGTCAATAATAATGGAATCTCATAGGCGCTTATGTCAAAAGTATCATAAATGGTTGGACGAAGTTATAGCAATTACTTTGCTACAGTCTTGTATTTAGAAGCAAAGTTTTGTAACTATAAACATGAGTATTTTTTTATTTTTAATCAATCTGGGATTTTCACTCTACAAGTAAGGTAAGTGGATAATGACTGTATATGTTTACTTGAAGATGGTAATGAAAACTGCAGCAGGTTAAAAAATTAATGTACTTACCATGCGAATAATTTCTTGCTGTAGATATAGCTCTTCCCATTACTAAGTGAGATCATAGGGTTACCATCTTCCAGAAGCGCGCAATTTGTTACTGTCACTGAAAAATTAGACACTGACTGAAACTCCTTTTATTGGATAATGTTATCACAGTGACAAAATTGTTTCTTTTTTCCACATTCCAACATTTTTGGCAAAATTTTACCTTACATCATGTGTCGATAAAACTATCGACAACAACTACATGACTATTTAAAAATGTATGAAAATTGGTAACCCTGCAAATGTCATTTTCAAAAAAAGACAGACTATATGGTCGAAACACAAAACTGCAATGCGACGTTGCATCGCAGAAATTTACGAGCTCGCATGACGCATCGCAAGCATTTGCGAATGGGTCCATCGCGCATTCCGGCGATGTGAATCTCCTTTGTATTTCTTCCTATACTTTCTTGTCAATAACGGCACTGCAACACCCTTTTCACGATCCATGTCGCTGTCTACTTTAAAAAATATGTTAAATACGAACCGTGTCTTGCCGCACGAAATCGCGTCGCAGCAATTCGCATCGCGCCGATTCGCAGTTTTGTGTTTCGACCCAAACAAAGCACAATACCTAAAGTGTCTTACTCATTCTTCTCAAGAGAACTTGCCTTGTGGATGAATAGAAGAGTTTAATCAATATGACGATTTCACGTGTCATTTTCTTATCTATGAATAAAAATTAATTTGAATTTTGTGGATACGAACCGCCATGAGTAAGAAGGTTTCTGAAGCTTAAAGGTCGCACGAGACACGTCGCCGTGGCCAAGTCCCACATCGTGAGCTCCGCGTGTGTTGTCACCGCTACTAGCGTGTCACCGCTCAGTGTGAGTTTCGCCGCTTGGGACAATAGTGCTAAGAAAGGAATATGTTTATCGAGTTCTTAGGTTTTCGCGATTGTTACACATAGAAAAAGAAACTAATTTTCCGGATTTATCTCGCGTATATTTGTTTCTTCAAACAAACCAACGTTTCGGGCCCTTTACAGGTCCCATGGTCACGGTTGACTGAGGTAGTACAGTCATTAACCAGTTATGTCTAATATTAATGCAAACAAATAATATAAATAGTGAAAAAATAGGGATATAAATAGATAATAAATTGTTTGTTTTTGTTAATGTATCGTACTGACCGATGGGTGGCAGTGCTCTGGTGGCGTGCGTGAGCTGTATCCGCCACGCGTGCAACGAGCCGTCGGCACACGCTAGCGCTGCCCAACGTGCACAGCACGCGATGCACGTCACCGTGCTGCCTGCACACAATACAATATTGTTTTCGGAATCATATTTAGTAGATGGACGCTTATGACCTTGACTGCGACACCCTAAAAAACGGAAAATTCAACAGAGCCTCAGGGCGACTTTGACAATGCGACCTCTTTCATTGTCATCCCACCTTTTTACCACCCTTTTCTCTGGTTCTTGGCTACCTACTTTGAAAATTTGAACAATTCTTGAATTCCTTTTCTTCGTCACTCTTACTTTTCTTCATACCATCGCCACTCTCTACTAAATAAGGATGGCGATATCCCGTCTATTTTGTGACCCAGTGTTTTTGACGACGTGCATTAAGGAGACCTATCAATAGTTGTGGTTCATAATCAAAGCATCAAAAAAGCTGGGATTATAAAGTTGATATAGGTTATGTTTACAACATTGCTCTGTATTTCGCTTCAGATGTATGTTCGTAGTAGCAGAAAATAACAAGTTTTCTGTTTGTTCCCAAAAACAATAAAGAACTTCCCGAATATTCCCAAATCTGCCAAACTTTGCCACATTTAATGTAACTTATCATGTTCTGCAGCAATGGAAATGAATAAATTAAATCTGCCAAAATGGCAGTAATCTGCCACAAATGGTCACACTGTTCTCAATATCAATGTGACATTGGCAAGAGGTCTCTTGTGAAAACGTTCCTTTGCAACTTTCATTATCTCTCATTTAAATGTTGTCTATATATTTTTGTTACATTGAGTTTTATTTTTTGCTTTATGTCAATACTGTTTAATTGATTATTTCATTACGTATTTCATAGCTTTAATGTTTTATGTGTGTACTATAAAATAACCAATAATTCACGTAGGTAAACATTCAATCATGCTTAAAATGAAACGTATGTACAAGAACGTTACGTAATCTATGGTCGAACTGAATAAATTGCGTTGTGTTCTTGCATCTACTCTAAAATACAATGTTTTACATTTTTTATATTCCCGACTTCTAAAAATATATTGATAACAAGGCTCAAACTAAAACGCAAAATTATACTAGCAAAGTCCATGAACGGCTCTTCGACGTTATTGGGGCAGCTTTCGCCATTCTTTTAGATTTCATATCAAATTCTGACCATTGAAAATCATGTAACCTAACTGCTTGTAAAGCACAATAATTGCACAAATACAGACCCTTTTGGGGTAAGTTCCTTTTTGCCACGTCTAACCTGTATGTAATTGAAGTAGGGAGAGTTTTTGTATGATTGTACCTGTATTTATACCGTAATCTTGTTTTGTTACAGTCTTTACGTTTACCTTTCTTCCTTTTCCTGTTCTTTACCTATTCCTATTTGACAATAAATGGTGTGGACGGAGCCTTTACTCAAAACCCTCGGTCACAGTGCCAAGGCCCAGAACGCTACTGGACACTTCCCCTAGAATAATGCTTAATTAGGGGGTTCTCCGTCTTCACCGGCAGAACGGCCATTAGGTATGAACTGCCTGTGTATTGGTTAAAAACAATACAACACAATGCTCTTTTTTACGTGGTCACTCTCAATACAAAAAGCATTTCCATAATGTTAACAAAATGTAATACAGAGCGCATTTATGGACCCTGTCGGGCACAGCAAATGAGTGGGAGGTATTTTTAGTAATTGAGAATTAATAATACATTTTTCACATCCCATGTGTACAGTCATATACACAAGATACCTGACCGCCCAAGCCGACTTTGTCGACCTTTTGGTTCTGAGCACAAATATGTGGAGAAAATTATTAAACACACTTAGGGTCGTATTCCAGAACTCTCCTCAATGCTCAAGTCAGAATCTGAGTATGATTTCAAGCACTGGAAATACGACCGTAATGGCTTTTGGGGTGTATTTTTATAGAGCATTAATCAATTCCTAATAATAAGCAGGGACTTGACTATGATTTCGAGTGCTTTAAACCATACTCAATTCCTGTCTTGAGCATTGAGCAGAGTTCTAGAATACGACTCTTAATCTTTAAACTGTGATCTGTAAAATTTATTTTGGTATGACTTCCTGGTCGTCTCATTAGTGAATGACATTGTAAGAAAGATTTTACGCAAATTTGATCTTTAACGTATGGTTCTTATTTAAATGCAGAACACAAATTTCAACCAGCTTTAGTAAGGCCGTCGTATCTCGGTCGGTTTGGGCATGGTAGGGGATCAGTATCTCATGTATATTACACACTGTACTGTACATTACAGCATCTACTCCAAAACTACGTAACTTTAACTGCCTCCATGGCCGAACGGTTACCATGCCGGACTGACACGCAGAGGTCCCAGGTTCGATTCCCGGGCCGGGAGAAATATTTGTATGGCCTACATTTATTTCTCTCGTGAGTTTGGGTGTAATTTGTGGTTGTCTATGTGTGTGTCCATGGCACCCGCGACACAGGGTTTCCCTAGTGCGGGGCTATGTCGAGTGTGTACGTTATTATTATTATTAAAAAACATTCTGACGGTTTGACCGTAGTTAATTTGAGTTCCAGTGAAGAATTATTCCGAATTATTAAAAATGCCTTCCTCTCATTTGCTGTGCCCGACACGATCCATAAATGCCCTCTGTATTATATTTTGTAACATCTTTTTAACATTGTGGAAATGCAATAAAGCATTGAAAGTGACCACGTAAGAGAGAGCATTGTGTTATATTGTTTTTCACAAATACACTCCAAATTTTTAGGTTTAGCTGCAAGTCTAGAATAGTCATGACCGCGTTACACCTGGCTAAAACAAGAAATTGAAAAAATATTATTATACATCACGATTGATAATAATTACCTAAATAAGTTTCCCAAACTGGATCTGGTGATGCCGAGTTGTTAGGTAGAAGCTGGATTTTGGATAACGCGCCGTAGTGTGTATTGCAGGCCTTGTTAACAACCTGCAATGTTATGTGTTAATAATAAAATACAATTAATTGTGATACTCAAGAGTTAGAAGAAAGCATAGGGATATTGAATCGCGTGTTTTTATTTTTATAAACAATAAGAACCGGATTCCACGCACTAAATAGTTTAAATCCATCACGCTACATAATCGTGCCGCTAGCCAGTCAACCTGTGGGCACGGAGCGTGAACTGTTCCGAAACATCGGGAAAATTAAAAATAAATCACATCTATAGAAATTTAAATTTGACAATCATTTGAATTTCAGAATATATTTGCTTATATTATTTTCATTGTAATAATTAATTAAATGAAATTAATGGTAATCAAATTGTATATCTTAAAATTTCATTACTGCGCTCTTACATGTACATGTTTGATATCAACTACTATAAGTCCTAAATGTAACAACGTGTTTCGCAATAAACGATATTATGATTATTTTTAGACTCTCGCCTCTCCCAAGGCCTAAAAGATAATTTTGAATTTTTAAATGGGAGAGTTTGTATTCCCCGGCAACGGCTCAGGTCAAGAACTCAGGTTCAAGACTGCAAAGTCTGTATGAAAATCCATTACTGTCCTTTTCTGCAAACTTTTAAATCTACCTAGTAATAATGAACTACGTAAATAGGCAAGAGAAAAACTCATAACAGCGAGAATTAAAAATAATAATCTGTACCGCTTACTTAAAAAAAAAGAAAATGGCGGTAACACAATAGAGTGTTCCTTTTGTTTTGTCGTTTTTTTTTTTGTATTTTGGTCGCGAAAATGAGTGCTAGTGAGAAGAACGATAATGAAAATACTGTAATAGATACACATTCAAACACATCATCAGAAGTTCAGCGTACTACTATTAATGAGCCTGGAAAAACAATAACATTTTCCTTTAGCAATTGTATTGTGTAATTTTAATGTTAATTAATATTTTAAATTATATTGACTTGATATTGAATTATTTGTTGTGAAATTACTCCACTAGTTTGTTAGAAATATTAATACAAAGATCGAACATCGAATAACTTCCATAGATTTCTCATAGATGACGCTACGACTAAAAAGACACGACAACAAGCACGTAGAAAAATAAAAGAATTATTTCTGAGTGTTCGATCTTCGTATGAATAGTTAATTAATATTGTTTACTTTTTCTCTTACCTCGCATTGTTTGAGAAAAATTCGATACATGCCTCGGCGGGAACGGGGATTGCTTGACTCGTATTAATACAAGGCCTCTGCAATAATGTACTAATCTATGTAAAGACCGAGACCGACCTGCAGGCGCAGGGCGCCGGCGGCGCGTACCACAGGCCCGTTGGCGCCCAGACGGGGCGCGGGCAGCGGCGCGGCGGCGGGCGGCGGCGGCGGCGAGGGCGCCGCGCGCTTGCAAGGGAAATCCGCCGCGCGCGGCCCGGGCAGCGGCGGCGGCCCGCGCTTGCGCAGCCGCTGGTCCAGGGCGCTGATACACGTACCCCATTGTTAACAACGCAAGTTTGCTGGTGGAATTACGGGCACACGAGACTTGTCAACTTTTTATTATAATATCAAGTGACGGGCCGGACGGACAAGGGACGGAGTATTATAGTATCAAGGCCGGCTATCGGACACCCACGTTGCGTCACACGTCGCAGACAATACGTGGAAATAATAATTAGTCATAAGTGGTTTACTGTATTGTTATGTATGTTAGTCTTTAAGGTATGAATTTATGGGTCTTTGTGACCTGCATACAAATAATTAAATAAATAAAATAAATAACAGTTGCAGTGCCACTCAGAGCTTTATATCTCAAAGATTTCAGGGGCACTGCCACTGCGCCGTCACCCTGAGACATAAGTTGACAAGTCCCATGTGCCTGTAATTTCACCAGCACCATTACCCTTTCAAACTGGAACAGAGTAATGCTGACATTACTGCTTGGCGGCAGAAATAGGTAAGGCGGCAGCACTACCTTGGACGAACTCTTTCACAAGGAGCTCTACTGCTACTAAAAATCTCGTCTCAGGGTGACGTAAGCTTGCGATTTAAAGCTAGACTTAAAGTAGTACAGTTAGTAGATTTAAAGTAGTACTGAAACTGTTATGGACAGGCGTGTCGCTTGCCATCAGGAGCACGACTTGTTCGTGCCGTCACTTGATATTATAAAAAAAAGTACAACTATTTTCTCAATATGCCTCGCCAATCGTTGGATTTCCGAATGCAAACAAATATAAATTTTCATGTTTTGTCATTTACACATTTATCATTTAAATTTGAATTCAGAAGCACGAACTATAGGCTGGTTTCACAGCTTTGCTCACGATTCGTATGGACTGTCCGCCTACTGGCCATCCGCATGCGTAGAATCCGGAGTGCTCTGAATTGTGTATTTAATTTATACTTCGTTTCAATCTATTTTAAACAAAAAAGTAAACACACAAGTCACTGACCCGACCATAGAAGATTTAGTGATGGCCAATTATACAGCCAAGTATAAAAAAATAATAAGTTGAATAAATCGATTTGTTTGAGTCATACTAGCGGTTTTCATTACATAACCTATAAAAGCATATTTAAAATTTCCGAAATGTCAATTTTAAATCCTCCACCAAATCCTCGATAGATACTCTTTCGATTGCGATTGAAATTTTCGATTTACTAATCCATTACAAAAAATTTAACTGAATTTTTTACGTATAGCACTATGCAACCATACGATTCATAATAAATAACCTCACTTTTTGACTATCATCTTTCAAATACGATTTTACGATGTCATTCAAATGAATATTGTTGGAAAAAGCGATGAGATATTAAGTTGTAAACCTTCGAAATATACGTGAAAGTGTTATTTATTTGATTTATTGAGTCATTACTTTAGAAATTCAAACAATCTGTTTTGTTTACATGTCTTTTAAACAGACTATAGTGCGGATATTCACGGAAGGCAGTCGCCTACAATGAACACACGCGTGGCTTGTGCGGAGTTCACGCGGAGCGTGTTCCGTACGGAGCAACCCGCGTCACTGTATAACGTTGTTGTAACGCCACGCGTGTTATTCTGCTTCGATGCTCCGCGCGCACGGTCCGCAGATAAATCCGCACTGGTCTGAAACCTGCCTTATTGTAGTTTTGTTTCGATTTCCATGTGAATTAAATAGAGATGTAGAACAATATACTAAGTTAATAAAAATATTACAATAATAAAGACCAGCAATTACTCCCCAAATCGTAGAATAGCAACTAATCCTCGATATTATTGTATTCAATAAATTTAATAGATTAATAATTGTATTTAATTATTACATTAAAACTTCGGTCTGCCTGTCTCCATACATTGCTACGCCCTTCTGGGGTTCATATGTTTGAATTGCAATAAATAAAATGAATGAATGAATGAAATCGATTGAGTGCTTCCGGTCTGCATCAAGTGCAAAGTTACATTCCTTACAAACTTCTTGCACTTTTTCTACATTGATCTCTTTAACGATTTTTATAGCTAAAACAAATGCTCATGTGACCTCCCATCCCACCTGACGGGAAGTGAGTAATGAGATCGACGATGGAGCATGCTCCATCATGCAGACTTATTTCCTAAGCGGTATAACTTGGGCCTTTTCAAGGCGAGAGTGGCCTATTAACTTTCGCTTTGAAAAGGCCCAAGTTATACCGCTCAGGAAATAAGTCTGCAGGCAGGGAATTTCACTTTACAAGTTGTTCGCCATATGAATGTGGAAGCGTAACGCCGTGCAAATCTTGGATATATGCATGACATAGGGGTGGAACCCCAGCCTACGTCGTGTCCCCCGATGATAGAAAGCGATGGCGGAATTTTTCCATGTAATTCCGTCGCACATTCTCCGTGATATATATATCCGGATATATGATAGTTTTTTCTTGGTACTTTATAATTTCGTACTTTTTTATTGTTTGTACAATTGTATATCTACTAGAATCGGTGCTTACTTGTCGGAAGGCTTCGGTGCCGGTGCAGAAGTTGCGTGGTTGCTGACATTGGGATGTATGACGATGTCGTCGCGCCTCTCCACACGGATGCGAGATTTGCTTTGAGATGACGTACTAAAGCAGTTCTCTGTGCCGCTCGGTTGGGAGCCAAGGGATTCACTGAAATTCAATATAATTACTGTCAAATGTAGTTTAACACATCTTCTTCGTGGCCATCTTTTAATGAAGGTCGGCGATTATAATGGTAAAATGAACCTTGGACACTGCTGCTCTGAATAATGATTGGGTGCGCCTATTGAACCACTTCTCCGCTTCTCTTTCCTTGTATTTTGCTTTCGATTATTAATTGCAATAGGTTGTGCTTTGGACTTCTCAGTATATGACCCAGTTTCCTTCTTTTAACTGCCTCTGTGGCCGAACGGTTACCATGTTGGACTGCAACGCAGAGGTCCTGGGTTCGATTCCCAGGCCGGGAGAAATATGTGTATGGCCTACATTTATTTCTCTCGTGAGTTTGGATGTAATTTGTGGTTGTCTATGTCGCGAATCACGCGATAGTCAATGATTTGGTGAGTTAACGAACTTCGCCCATTGTTTGTATTGTGGTAACACTGCTTTGCCTATGCTAACTTGTTATTTTTGACACTATCGAGACGGCAGTAACGTCAACGGCAATGGCGGGAACCGAGTGCACTTCAGTTTGGTTAAAACTAAAGATAAGGCTGTGTAAGTGACTGTACCCTAAGAGACAAACAACTGGTAAGTTCCTCTATGTACTATGTACTATTTAACATTACGACATGCATAGACACGATGGAAAGACACACAACTAAGTTAATTGTCTATTTTAATATTGTAACGAAACATGTTCTACGACTATCAATTTGCCACGTGCCGACTGGACCCGCAGTAGACTAGCCTCATTGACGCTGATGACTGTGGGTACCTATTGTTGGCATCAATCGGGTCGGTAGTAGCATGTACGCTTGCACCGCGATTAATAGCTAGCGAAGCTTGAAATCTGTTGGGCAGAAGTTGGACTAAAGGGGAGTCTGGAGGTCCACTCGAGACACCTCTCAAGGCGTCCCGCCCCAGTACATAGGCGAGATGTGCTGGGGGTTTGTACGCGACATACGAGACACGCCTCTACGGTTCCTCGTCATAGCACAATGTAGTGTTATGAATGTTTTAATCATGGTTCAGTGTCTTTCTACCTGCTTATATGTATACCTATAAATTAAGTATCTTTTGTCGTCCCTCAATATATACATTGAGAATATTTTAACCAGGTACATAGGTATTACAGTCTAGTCTAAATCCAATAAACTACAAAGTGGCGACAGTCTATGTGTGTGTCCATGGCTCCCGCGATACAGGGTTCCCCTGTACTGTGTGCGGGGCTATGAGTGTGTTGCGTTATAATGTTATTATTTGTGGTAAGAAACACTTCTCGTTTTCTACCAACACGTTGCAGCACCCTTTCGTTCGTGACATTGTCTCTTCACAATATTCTCAAAATTTTCCTATACACCCACATTTCGAAGGCTGTCACTTTGTTGTACATAGATTCTGTGAGTGTCCAAGCGTTTGCTCCGTACAAGAGAATAGAGAAGATTTGACACATAGGAGACATGTAAATACCTCAAATTGGGCCAATGTGATAGCCTTCCTTATTTGACTAAAATAATGTTCATAATTTATTAAAATTACTCAGTACAGAGTAGTAAAAAAACCGATCTCAAAACTTATTCATCCCCTAGTTTGCCACCCTTAGAGGTGGAATACTATCTTCAAATTTAAATAGGACTTCTGAGGTACCAACAACAAAAGAATCATAAAAATCGGTTCACATATACGAGTACATACAAAAAAACCCTACAGATGAATTGAGAATTTCCTCCTTTTTTGAAGTCTGTTAAAAATAAGAATCTTATAATTATATATCCATACATTTTTGACAGCAATGTACACACGCCAGCACATCAAGCTACACATCGACGTATCTTGTTCCGTTGCACTGGAGGCGATTTTCGAACAAAAATGTGTAGTCTGATGTGCCTATGTCCGTACTTAGCATCAGCATTCGTGAGAGGAATGAAGACAGGTGTGATGCGTCGTTTCCCGTCAGAGGTACGCGTCTCGATCTGGCGGTCCATGGGCCGCAGCGGCGCGCCACTGGGCGATATCGACGCGTTAGCCGACACGGGTGAAGTGGTCAACATTGGTTTTGTCTGTTAACAAAATAATATTGACATATTATACAGGGTGTACATTTGCTACAGGAAAATAATTCTAGAAGACTGTTCATGAATTTTGAAGATATTTTAATTGGTATTCACAGATTTTGAAAAAATGGTACAGTCAGCAAGATAAAAGGCAATTTTTACAAAACTTTTTTTAATGCCATTCGATCCGGTCTTTATTAAGGTTCAATAGTCTCTATGGGACCAACTGAGGAAAGAGTACTCGAAATGTCAGAAATCGCAAAAGACCTTTTACCGCACATTTGAAATGAAAACTTTTTGTTAGAAAAGAAACTGGCCACTATCTACTCTACAAATAAGAATTAAGTAAAACCAAATTATAATCATATCATTAGTTTTTAAATTTGGAACAGCTTTGTTTTGTTTTGTTAATAGCGAATTGTCAATTTTAATACGACTTTTAACAAAAATCTCAAATTTAGCAATGCTTAGACTTATTGAAAGCATATTTAAAAATGGTAAAAACGGTACAAATGCTTTGGAGTGGTATAGGGTCAAAAGGTCAAATATCGTTTTCGAAGAGTGCCCACCAGAAAGTGCCCTCCATAAATATTATATATAAATATATGGTAAGCTATACGCCTGTCCATAACAGTTGCAGTGCCACTGCGCCCGTCACCCTGAGACATAAGTCGACAAGTCCCATGTGCCTGTAATTTCACCAGCACCCTTTAAAACCGGAACACATAATGCTGACATTACTGCTTGGCAGCAGAAACATGTACGGTGGTAGCACTTTCCTGGACAAATTCTTTTTCAAGGAGCTCTACTACTAGACATTTGCAACAACATAGTGTTACACATATAACGATATATTGTTACACATGCAACGACATACTGTTACATTTGCAACGATTCATTGTTACACTGATTATGCTATACACAACTACACTATCAATGTAACAATATATCGTTTTACTGTTCTTGCTATCGTTCCGTTAATAAGATGGACCGATGAGCGGAAAAGAGAAAGTAAAAACCTTTAATGTCTTCTTGTTTATATTTTGTCACACCAATAATGTAACATCCGTACTTGATACTTACAATACCAGCACCTGGGTACTTGCGCTAACATGATCTAGCTTAGAGGCTTACAAGCTCTTCACATTAATACTTGAGGTCTCGGCTATTAGGACGAGTGATGCCACTTACAAATATGAAAATGTATCCAATAGTTTACTTAAACTTAAAAATCATCGGAAAAACAACACAATAGCACAGTTTATGTTCTACTTGTCGAAAATTTACCTGTGATTTGTCATTTCTGGGCGTGGCATCATCCTTGACTGCCTCCTTCTTGGCCTCATGCTTCTCCCGAGCCAGTAGAATCTCGGGGCATTCCACCAGCAAGTTTGAAGACAGATCACCGCTCTCGTTTGCTAAGCACTTGCCGTAGATTTTCTCGTAGAAAGCGTTCTGCAATTTGTTAATGGTTTGTTATGTATATTATATAGACCAATCCCACGTAAAGAACTTAGAATGTTAATAGGTATTTGTAATTAGAATTCGTATTTCACAGCAATACAGTCTTATAACTTAGTTTTTTTTTATTCTTTTGGCTTTGATACTACCTAACCAAATATGTATACAAAATCTCCGCGGCACTACATGTTGGCTCTGACAAAGCAGATTGATGCTACCCAACATTAAATGTACGGAAACCAGCCTGTGCAAATGATGTACATCTTCAGGAACCCCACACACTTCGCAATTCGGTGAATTCACCCTCCACAGCAGTCACAAAAATTTGTTTAATGAAACGTGTCCGGATTTATATTATTATTAAGTAATTGTTATAAATGAAAGGGCTGTTAAACTGTAACTTTTTTTTTCGCTTCGGCTATTTTTGCCTAGCCGAGCACGCGTTCATGCGTTCTCGGATTTTTAACCGGTTGTTGTACCTGTAGTGCGTTTGACGTAAGTTCAAGCTACCAAAATATCGTTGAAGTTACGTAGTCGTTCGATCAAAGTCCTATCCAAAATTAGTATCCACGTATCACTTGAACGAACGTTGATATGAATAGAACCGAAACGTAACGACTAATCATCGAGTATATAACCAGAAATAGAGACGAAATGTCATTTATTCCGTTTGAAAACTATTCTGTCATATCATTATGTAAACCTCGAAACAATTGACGGGTGTCGTCAACTGTTTCACTTCAAATCAACCAGTTAACTTGAGCTTTGCTATAATGGACGAAAATTGCAAAATTACATATTTAATACGAATAAGCACTTCGACGACTAAACCGTTACGACCGTTACGATATCGTAACGGTTTGATTACGCGAATCGCACTACTGGGCGTCTATTCCCGATTCCACGTCCGAAATAATTACTGTGAAATAAGTAATACTCAACCAAATCTAACAGGACCAGGACAATATAAAAGAACAGGACCCCTAGACCCCTTGAACCGATCTCGAGGCAAATTAATGAACATTAACGGCGCGAACGCGACGTTATCCTAAAAGTACCGTTGTACTTTCTTTTCGCAACAATAAAAATCTTGTATTATTTCTATTACCTAAGCATATAGGTAACCATTAATTTATAACTACTAATTATTTTATTGTTAAATATAGAAAATGTCTTTTTAAACTGTATAATGCCTAAAGTACAGGTATACATTTACTTAGTTTAGGCATCGCAATTACACATTAGGTTCTAATATTAAAATGTATAGCTTTACTATGAAGAATGTATAATTTCGATTCCCTTCTTAATGCTTATTTTAATACTATAATAGCTTTATTTACATTTGTTTTACTTGTATATTATTATTATCTTTAAACACTAATTAAACCCAAACATGTAGAAAGAAAGAAAACCCAAAATTAATGTAGTCATGATAACCCTTCGGCCATAGAGACAGTCATAGAGTGCCATTTGCGAAGCAATTCATTTTTAAATTACACTTAACAGTTTTATGGACTTGAAAAGCTTTTTTTAAACAAAATATTCTTTAATTAAATTGTTATTGAATTGATATTCAATTATTTTTTGTGAAATTACTCCACTAGTTTGTTGTAATTATTAATACAAAGATCGAACACTCAGAAAAAAAAAATCTTTTTCTTGGCTGCATATATCTGTTATGGTTAATTTGAAATAGGTCTGAAAAGTTGACCGATTATCACCGATCATATATAGCAAATAGAGTGTAAGATAAGTAAATACCTTTTCATCAGAAGTAAGCGGTGTTCCAATTTCTTTGTTCGTAAATTGTATGCAGGCCACTGTACCATCAGAGCTACACGCTAGCAAATTCAGGCCTGGAAAAGATTTATAAAATTTATAAAAGCCGTTAAAAATCAATATGGCTGATTCGAAAGATGCCAATCAAAAGATCCCTTTATGCTTTTAGACAAGTGGAAAGTTAGTTTTTTATACTCTGGTTGTCTGGGGAAGAAAATAGATCTGTAAAATTCCGCCACATAACTTCATTAACTTGTCAACCATTTGAGCGGTTACACGGCGAATTTTCAGCAGCGATGCAAACGCGGTGCAGTAGGTAATCTTGTACCTTTACACACACGCGACTTTAAGCAGTGACGCAAACGCGCAATTGCACCGCTACACTTGTGATTTATAAGCGATTGCACCGATGCGATCGCGCGATTGCACCGATGCGATCGCGCGTTTGAGTCGATGCAATCGCGCGTTTGTATCGCTGCTTGAAGTTGCCGTGTGTAACTACTCTTTACTGTTGAGTTTAACATATAATAATAATAATGTGCCCAACAACTACACCAACTGCCTTGTCTCAAATTAGAGAATTCCCAGCACTATGAATACCAGAGCAACGGAATTCACTCTGGGGCACGTCCCGTAACACCCAGAACCAATTTATAAGAGTTCGTTTACCAACTGGTCTGGATTGGTCCTACCGGGAATCGAAGCTGGGACCTCCTCAAGCAGCTGCAAACGATGGGCGGCCAAGGTCGTCAATGCGATTGTAGTAAAATTAACAAAGTGCAGTAGCCGGTTATTTATTAAACATTTTATGATACCGATCATAAGTTGAACTGTTGTAAGACCTTTTTCACCTGGAAAACCTAGCATAGCAATAACAGGACTCACCATCAGAGCTCCAAGATAGATCCAAGACGCTGTCCCCAAAAAGATCGTGTATGACCACAAGGGGGCGCTTCAGTGACGTCAGCCAAATAGATAACGCACGGTCTCTGGAGCCCACAGCAGCACAACAACACTTCTTCCCTTCCTTTACGAATATGTTGTTGTTGAAACGCTGCAGATAGAAATGTAGCAAGATGGTTTACAGTTATATGATTAGTATATATATACATATGTTCTACGGCTTTGCGACACGGAGAGAAAGTACTTAAATATTATAGATAGAATATTTTGCTTCAAGAAGACATTATTTTTAACTGCCTTTGTGGCCGAACGGTCACCATGCTGGTCTGCCACGCAGAGGTCCCGGGTTCAATTCCCGGGCCGTGAGAGATATTTGTTTGACCTACATTTATTTTTCTCGCGAGTTTGGGAGTGTCTCCATGTGGTATGTCCATGACACTCGCGATACAGGGTAACCCTAATGAGGGGCTGGTAACTTATTACAAACTTAAATTATTTTTTTCTGAAATGTCGTTTGTTCGAATTTTCATTACCCCGAAAACCGAATTATAACGAAACCGTTGTTCTTTCAGGATATGTTGGATGTGCAAAGACACGATTAGGTTCGGTTAGGTTAGGTTTAAAAGAAAAAACATTTTCCCCTCAAAATACTTTCGAAGTTATGAAAACTCGAGCAAATGTTATTTCTGGAAAATGTCATTTCGGACTTCTGATAGGTAACTTGCGGGGCCATCCCTTGAATGGATTCCCTCTTGGGGGTTCAGTAGCCGTGGTCGATTTCATTCCACAATGAAGCTGAGGAGGAACCACGGGCCGACCGATAGAGCTAGGCTGGCCCGAGGGGAGGGCTGCTCCACTTCAGGGTTCAGCCAAGTCCCACATAACCCCGGCTCTGCGTCCGCAGGGCTACAAAACCTCGACTATCGCAGAAAAGTAGTCTGCTTGTCAGTTTTCTATCGGATACATTTCGGGGAGTGTGCGCTGGTACTTTTCAATTTAGTTCCACCGTTCCCCCTTCGGTGGACTAGAAGGTCCGGAACACTCCATGCTTATGTCATTGATATACCACCCATTCGCACCAAGCGCTTAAGCTCTTTGTTTCCTCCTTTCTGATACGTACGGCAAAAGGAATGGAATACTCTACTCAATATGTGTTTCCCAAAAAGTACAACTTGGGGCTATTCAAAGCCAGAGTGAATAGGCATTTTTAGGCAAACGCGGATCATCGAGGTATGCCGATAGCCTATGAGACTCTCCAGTTGATCCACAACATACACCGCAGAAGTGTGCGTTTAAGGCTCCAATGGATTCCCTCCCATGTGGGATTGCCCGGAAACGAAGAAGTTGACTCCCTTGCTAAATCAGCTGCTGAAAATAGTACTGTACTCGATTGTAAGCCTTATGCCACCGCATATTCGGAGAACAGTCAGTGGATAAAGGCCTTGGAATATGGTGCAGAACCATTCAGAGTAATCCACAGTGGGTACCTTGGTTTGATTCTGTCAATATAGCAAGGAAATATCTTGTATCGGCTTTTAGACTGCGTTCACATTCCAACTAATAAATTCTTTCATATGATGGGTTTTAAACGATCCACATTGTGCAGTACTTGCAATATAATAGAGGATCTGTATCATGTATTGGTGGAATGTGGCCGTAACATATCCCTGAGAGGTACAATGTTTGCGGATGTAAGTTTATGCAATGGACAAATTAATTGTTGGCTCAGAGAACCTGTATATCTTGGCGCTCTAAACTTGTATAAGTTTTTGAACATGTCCCTTGAGTAGGGAACCCAGTATACCTCCCATGAGGCTGACATAGCCTCCTAAGGTGGCTAAAGCCTCAATAAAAAAAATAGGCAAATGCGCTCCATCGTCGGTCACATTGTCGCTTAACATCAGGTTAAATTGTGGCCAAGCGCATGTCTATTATTTGTAGAAAAAATATCCGTAAAAACGTAATCACTGTGAGTTAGACCCTGTTAATAAAGCAGTCTTCTTGGTAGCGACCTTAGATAGTAAACTTCAATGGTTTCCACATTATCGGAAGATAATGACTGGCTAGCAGATTAAGCTCCGCTGCATACGCAGTCCGCAGAATACGTGAGCTTACCGATGTTAGTACTGCTAGACTAGTTTAGTTACTTCCATAGTATAATGTCCTACGGGATTCTCATGTGGGGTAAAGCGGCATTCAAACCATGTTTGTATTGCAAAAACGAGCGATTCGTTCTGTGTACCGTTTAGGTTCTCAGATTTCTCTCAGAGAAAACTTTAAGGAGACTGGTAACATGACTGTGGCATCACAGTACATTTACTCAAATATTTTATATGTCCGTAAAAATACACATAATTTCAATAAGAAAGAAGATGAAGAAGAAGTCCAAACTCATGGTATCACGATTTCGTTTAACCAAGGTAAACGAATCTTTTATGGGGAATTGTATACGTTTTGACAATAAGATTATTAAGATCATCATTTCCTAAGTTTAAAAAGTATTTTGATTAAAAATATTTTGATTGAGAAGTCATATTACAAAATTGAAGACTACGTGTTGGATAACGATGTATGGAAAGACGACATGACTCTAGATTCCACACAAATTTAATTCAGAGTGTATTACATAGCAAGTAAGTTTATTTGAGAAGAGCAATCCCTAGACTTTCTTGCTTGTTCTTCTCAGAGAAGTCAGCGTAGTGAACGAGCAGTAGCTTAAATGTGACGTTTTCAAGTGCAAATTTATTTTACGTATGGAATAAATGATTCATTGACTTTGATTTCATATGTAGCTCAACTAATATGCAGGAAAATGGTATGGTTATGAAGCTAATATTCACCAGTACTTACAGCACAAGTAACGGCTTTGCGATGTCCAACAAAGTCTTTGTCACATCTCCATCCATCGCGTTCTACAACTTGCGCTGTGGGCCCGCCGCCGTTCATCGCATGCGCTGATAGAACGTATTGGCCGTCTGGAGACCATGATAAACGAAGAACGTGTGTTGTTCCTGAAACGAATTAGAAAAAAAATTAAAAATTTAAAACTTAAGACGGACAATGCAAAGAACTTGTGCCCAGAAGTTAACACGAATAATGTCGTATTAAATGTATAGGAGCATTTAACATTTAAATTTTGGATATTTCTAGTTTCATTTTTAAAAAGTTATTGATGTCGTTTTAGTCATTCTGTAACGAACATTCGATATCAGTTTAAAAATTTTTAATACGTCCTATATTTACGGAATAAATAAATAAATTAAACATTATACCCTGTATAGATGACAGATGAAGAAATAGAAGACAGGAAAAAAAAAATAAAAAGGTAATAATAATAAATAATGTATAAGAAGCAGCTGTTGTCCCACTACCACCACGGTTTAACAGTAACTTTGGCTGTAGAACAGACAGATTGTTGAAATGCATCAGGGAATTGCTGCCACCTTACCTATTTCTGCCGTCAAACAGTAATGTGAGTATTATTAGTTCCAGTTTTGAAGGATAAGGATGCTGGCGAAGATACAGGCACATGGCACTTGTCAACTATGTCTCAGTTTGCGATTTAAAGCTCTGAGTGGTACTGCAACTCTTATGTATACAAGCGTAGCTAATATAAAAGAAATCGTAATCTCACCTCCACACTCCTCAAAAGGTTCCGTAATGACAGTCTCCGGTGCCCAGTCCGCTGTCTTCCACACTCTAAGCGATTTGTCGTCCGATTGTGATGCTAGATATTTCCCAACCTAGAAAAATATACCAATTATTTATTTTATTTACGTTTAAAGAATTTTTTACAAATTCATCAACTTCAAGTGTGTTTTTGACAGCTAGCACAGTGCTACTCCTAAGAAATACATGTTTAGTTTTATCTAATCGATTATATGATATATACATATATACTATATCGATGCAATTTGTTATGAAATGTTTACGTCATGGGTCGCACATATAACCAAATACTGTCTTAACTCAGAATGGTGGCAATGAGAAAACACAATTTCTCGAATCTTCTATTTCGATTTCAAAAAATTTGTGAATGGAACAAAAACAATTATATTCTCGTTTATAAGTGGTATGGTTTCGTTTATGGTGGGTATAAATAACTAAATATTATACATAAACAAAAATAATGATATTGTTTGCAATAAGATTAAAATAGTAATTTGTTTGAACTTTCAAACCTAAATTTTCTCAATTCCATCATTTTTGAGTTACGATAGTATATGGTTTCATATGGAAATGGCTATAATAAGAATGTCTTATGTAAGTACAATATAGGTACTATATGTGTAACGTAGATTATTCCGTTTATAAAAAAAATTGGTCACGACGTGCCTGAACGGGTTCCACCCTCGTGAACCCCAATTAAGGCTTCATTCACCCCCTCCCCGCCCCCCTGCCGTTGGAAGTGGACGCCTGGGGGTTGATGCAGACCAGTTCAACGGAATTATTGGTCTAAGACAATTTGAGATTAACAAAAATTATCAAAGCATTACTTTAAAAGATTAAATCATTCATTGTTATCTTTTTCTTTGATAATTTTTAATATAATCATTGTAACAATTATGAACAAAATTTTACAAATAATTTTATGATTAATTATTAATGTTTTTGTTAACTACAATTTAGTTATAAAAGCACGATATTTTCGTAACATTGTATTGTAACGAAATAATGTTGTTGAACATGTATTATAGTTATTTTTTTGGTTTCTTGAATAGCTCAAGTTAATTGGCGGATATTATGGAATTAACTACGCCTGCCAATTTCAGTGAAACGCATGTTGCATAAGATGCCTTGCCTTGCCGCCGAAAACAACATAGATCAGGTATTGTGAGTGTCGGCGCTTACGTAAAAAATTATTCTTATTTGTATTCTTATTCTTATTTTCTTATTCTTATATAACCGCTTTTCTCACAAATATATTGAAAAAGTTGTGAGCATACCAAGACACCACAATGCATTGCCTATAGGAAAGTTTAATTATAAGAAATAGAAACTTTAATTATGTATGTATATTATAATAATACCAACTGCTTAGCATCATGATTTTTTACGGAAAATGAACATTCATTTGTATTTGAATCCATACAAAATGCGAGATTCCTTGAATACATCCATTGCGTAGTCAGATACACTAACTGGACATATTATGTTTCAAAGGTACTGCAAAATTCGAGACGAATGCCAAGTTGCAGGAAAAACTAAACATTTCTTTTGCCTGTAGCTCAGCCTCAAGTGTCAACTTCAAGCTCAAGCAAGTTAACAAAGTTCTACATTCCACCCTAGTAAAACAAAGTATATTACTCCTGTTGTACAAAGTTTGATAGTTTGAACATCTTTATGGTAAATTATAAACTGAAATAAAAAGGAATAGGAAATGAAACTATTTTTCCGCATTTAAGTCGCGTATATTTGATTTTTCAAACAAACCGACGTTTCGAGTCTTTTACCGTAACCAGTCAACCATGACCATGGGACCTGTCGGTTTGTTTGAAAAAACAAATATACACAATTTAAATCCGGAAAAATAGTTTCATTTCCTATGTGTAACAATCGCGAAAACCTAAAAAGGAATAGTTACTCACAGGATCCCATGCAACTCCTTTCACAAGGCCAGTGTGACCATTTAATACGCAAACCATCTCAGGAAATTTCTCTGCATTCCAAATGATGATCGTGTTGTCTACGCTGCAGCTTGCTAGCCACTTGTCCAAGGGAGACCAGGCTAGATCTAAGACATCACCTGAAAGATGAAAAGAGTAACATTAATAAAATGAATGCAGTCATTTACTTTGCAGACTATACAATATTTTTCAATTTACTATTTAGTTTCTACCTGCATGTCCTCTAAGAGTGGACAGGCACCTCCAAGTTTCTGCTTTGTGTTTGCCAGCACCACCAGTTGCTACACTCAGTCCCCACACCATCACCAGTCTGTCGTCCCCACCTGAGGCCAGGTATTTGCCTCCGTTGCTCCATCGCACGCAGTTTACACATGCTGATAACAATAAAGATTTATTATAAATTATCAAATAATTTTGTAGATTTGTCTACAAATACATTGTCAAAAGTAGCAATAGTTTCAAAATTATCGATTTTTTAGTATTTCTCCACTTAGGGACTGTCTTATAGGAATACTGGATAGCAATAAATTTTTCGTAATTTTTAAAAATACAAGAAATTTCTGTCAAGTAGTCTTCTGATGCAATCACAAGTCTATTACATAAAAAAACTTCAATTAAATGAAGCTAATTGTTGTGGTGGGCGTGAACTGTATGTATATATGTAATTGTTATAACTTAAAATTTGTTTATTTACTACTGATACGAAATACAACGGCATTATAACATTTATGTAGCTTAAGACTAATCATGAACATAATAAGTGAATTATCATTCATAATTGATTGTGAACATTGGTATGATAACCTAAAGATCATCAAAAATAATTAAGTTATGTATGAATTAATCTGTTGTTTCTGTTTTAATTATATTTTACTTGAATTCACTAGTATTTATTCACTTATATGGTTCCGAAACAGTATAAAATTCTAATATATCACAAACTTTGTGTGGTGAATTCTATAAATTCTTAATACTTTACAAAAACAATGGAGTTCCGAATAAATAAATTTGATTAAATGCTAGCTGTTCCTGCACTTTTGTTTCAAACTTGTAGTAATAATTATTAGCAAATGCAATTAAAGAGAAACCTTCCAATTTTCAATTTGTTTTTATCATTAAAACTGTGATTATGGCATAAATATTAAAAGCTTTCTTCTATTTTTTTTATTAGCCAATCAAATTAAATGAAACACTCTGAATCTTAATTCAAGCTTATCTTAATACATCGCTGAACACCATCCCAATTGGTTCAGCCTTTGTGAAGACTAGTGAGTATGTTTGCGCATAGATAAAAGAAGAAAGTTCTAAGACTAATTTTAAATTTAGTAGTGTTCCTTCAAAAGGTAATACTGACTTAGGATACCTTCAAATTAGATGCTTGTAGAAGCACTGTAGTGTCGCATCTGTGGTGCAGCAGCTGCTATTAATAATCATACAATATCTAGCCTGCAGAATGACACTAGCATGGTATGCAGTGGTGCTTCAGCTGCGCTTCTAAATATTGCAAGAAAATCAGTAGTGGTCCGGCAGCAGAACATAGTGCAATTTGAAAGCACCCTCATTTTAAAATATTGAAAGTATAGACACAGCTTCTTTATAATTTTATTATACTTATTGGTTGTATTTTTTTCATACATCGTTTTTGGGTGCAAATACACTTTTCTTTTTCAACTCCACATATCTCTTATTTTGACTGCCTCCGTGGCCGAACGGTTACCATGCCGGACTGCCACGCAGAGGTCCCAGGTTCGATTCCCGGGCCGGGAGAAATGTTTGTATGGCTTACATTTATTTCTCTCGTGAGTTTGGGTGTAATTTGTGGTTGTCTATGTGTGTGTCCATGGCACCCGCGACACAAGGTTTCCCTAGTGCGGGGCTATGTTGAGTGTGTGCGTTATTTATTTATTTATTTATTTGACTACTTTGACTTCGAAACTACTAGAAAGCAGATAAGATTCAGACTGTGAATTTTGTATACAATAATAGAACAGAAACTGTCTACTTAGTTAGGCCATCGTTTCCCAAAGTGGCCCCTACTGCTCCCCAGTTGGTGCTGAAAAGACCTTGGGCAGTAGGGGCTTAGGAGGCAATTAAGGGGCGTTGATGATGTCCAGGGAATGCTACCACATTTGAAAAAAACTTAAATTATCTATACAAACTTCACTACATAATTTTTTCCTTGTGATTTTTTGTGTTAATATAAAATATGTGTTTCCAATTATTTTTTAAAGGTGGTGGGCGCAGAATTCTTTTTATCTTGCCTAAGTGGGTGGAGAGCCAAGAAGTTTGAGAGCCTATGGTTATATAAATAATAATTGACAAATGAAAAAATAATTCAAAGTTTCTTTCTACACATCTGTTGTAAAAGAAACCCGTCTACCATCAAGTTAAATTATTCACCAGCGTCTTACCTAAGTGGTTGTCCATTTGACAAAGCATTTTAGGAATATTAGGATCAACTTCCACTGACTCATACAAAACTGAGTTTAGGTTCCACACCACCACCCTGCCAGAGTCCCCACCCTGCCCGCCGGTTGCGAAACGCTTCCCCGTCGGGTGGATGTCCACAGAAAAAATTGGCTTGTCTGCAAAATAAGCATTTCCATAATCACCATACAGTCAACCTTAGAAAAATCACAAATAATAACAAAAACAAATCACACCCACCGTCATGATTGACCCAACTGGGTTTTAAAAGCTTCATTTAAGTATTTCAACTAATATTTTCTTGGAATAAACACGTGAAAAACCATGTATTGATGATTTATTTATTTTGGGAAAAAATTACAGATACAAGACCTGCCCGGCGATTTTTACAGTCTGTTCGGAAACTATATAGGCAATGAAAATTGAAACAATGAAATATCTAATAAATGGAGGGATAAGATTTTGTTAAAAAATATACATGTCTACAATAAATAAAACAAAAATAAACAATTACTCGATTATTGTATATTATATTTTGTAAGTATAATCCCAAAGGAGTAAAATATCTAAAAGTGTACAGAAGTTTTAATCAGTTAGATTGTAGTTTCTGATCTTACATGACATTATAGAAAGTATTGCCATTTTAATCTTGCGAATATCTACCATTATTATTTATTCTTGTCGCGGTAAAAGTTGACACGAGACAAAAAACAGTTTAAGAAAGCCTTTATAACTATAATTAAAACAAACCCGATATTTAAACCCTACTGTTGTTTTAAAGTTTTACTTGTGGAAAGATGTCAAGAAATATTAAAAATATATATAAATTGACAAACGGAAGCTTGGACAATATATTTTGATCTATGCCATAGTTTTTTTATAGTCTGTTGACTGTTCTTTATCAGAGTTCTTTTAGTTCATTCGTTGAAACTTTGCAAAAGTGAACCAACTTCGCGTGAGAAACTGTCGGAAAATTCGCAAAATTTTAAATATTCTGAAACAAACAAATTTTTAGTGAGGCATGAGAGGAGCCAGTACATTGATACCAGCGCGATTCTTGACTTTAATCGGCCACCTCTGTGTGCTGATCACGTTGCTATGGGAGAACCAACGGAGCACAGAACTTTGTTTGCCGACCCAGTTCCACAGCCAATACCTTCAGATTTATCGAAACAGGTAAAAATAATGACTTTTATATCTATTTTAAAAATAAATTTTACTCACGATCTAACAATAAAATACGTTACTTGTGTTTTATATTGTAATTTATTCATAATTTCGTGTTTTCCCGACTACGCATCGCACCACGTTTTTTTTTGTAGTGATAATTCATTAGCCTTTTACGAAGGTTATGGTAAGTCAAGCGTGATAATCCGAAGATAAAGAAGACCGACGGTCGACAACTTTATGGTTACATATTTTCTAATTTGCAACAAAGAAACCATAATAAAAATGTTGTTTTCATTACCTTGAGAATGCGCATCTAAATAACTTAACAAATTACATATTTATCAATTACACATATTTAATAAAAAATGTTTTGGTAAAATATTTTTTATTTATGTATTATATTTATAATATTTTTTATTAATAATAATTTATTATATTTCTTGACTGGGATTCTTAGGCATCTACAGTAATACATAATTATATCCATACACTTTTATCACTAGACAATATATATCAAGTTCTTAGGTTTTCGCGATTGTTACACATAGGAATGAAACTATTTTTCCGGATTTCAATTGCGTATATTTGTTTTTTCAAACAAACCGCCGTTTTGAGCTCTTTACAGGTCCTATGGTCATGGTTGACTGAGGTGGTACAGTCTTCAACCAGTTATGTCTAATATTAATGCTAGGGTGGTTTGTATTAATATTAGGCATAACTGGTTGAAGACTGTACCACTAGACAATACACTTTATTTATAAAAGTCAAAACATAATTCAGATCACACGTAAAAAATATTTTTAATTCATAATGAGAATAACAATAATGTGCCAGACCACCACTCTAAATACTTGAACTTAAATTAGGGAATACTACACTGGGACAAATTTAAAAAAGATTTCATAGATCTCTCACAGATGGCGCTACGGCAAAAAGTCATTTAAAACTAAAACAAAGATCTGCAACAAATACATTCAAAAATTTGTGGGGTCCATTAGTTGGTTCCGTGGCTAGTTAGCATAGCGGCTGGGATGGTTTGCTAGAAGACTAAAATGAATTTTTTGTAAATTGACCCGTCCTACATAAAGTCTTTAAATTGTATGTCGAAATTGCAAAGTTTACAGGGGAGTGTTTTAAAGTTTTGAATTCACTGAAATTACCATAACATGTGACTTTAGCATTTCTAACTTTTATTCGGCAAAGCTTGTTACTCACACAGAATATTATAAAATCCTAGATATCGGTCACATGAACAACCATAATTTATTTTATCATTTTACAATTTATTTTAGTATTTCTATGCTAAAGTCACATATTATGCTAATTTTAGTAAATACAAAACTTTAAAACGGTCCCCTGTAAACTTGGCAATTTCGACATACAATACTTTACGTGGGAGGGGTTGAAGAGTTCAATCTTTGTTTAATATAACAAACTAGTGGAGTCATTTCACAAAAAATAATTGAGTAAGGTGAAACATTCAATAAAAATTTAATTAAAAAAGATTGTCCCTAATTGAAACTTGTGACCTCATCTAGAGCCCACATTGTTAGCTACTGAGTCACTGAGGTTTTGGTCACCAAGCAGGTTTGATATCCTGATATTGAGGGTTTTTATTTTTTTTTATAAAAAATAAGTGCGCATTTGACCTCCATCTCACCTGATGGAAAGTGACGATGAGGTCGAGGATGTAGCATGCACACCTAAATAATGCCTATTCACTCTCGCCTTGAAGGGAAGGAAGAAGTCTGTAGGCAGGGAAATTCACTCCCTAGCCACTCGCCATACAAATGTGGAAGCGAAACGCTTCGTGCGACTCCGAGGAATATCCACAACATAGGGGTGGAACCCCTGCCCACGTCTAGTCTCCCGATGGTGGAATGGGGAAGGCGGAATCAAACTATGTAATTCCATCGCACACTCTCCGTGATATATCCTGTAGAATACCGATAAGCTGGCAACTCTACGGCGGTGTTCAAGGCTCTGCAGCTTCGCCTCTACTAATTCCGAGTCACCTATAAGCCTCTTGGCACGATTGTCAATTGAATCCAAAGTGGCCAGTTGATATGTAGCAGAGCCATCCCATAAGTGGCAGCAGTACTCCATATCCATTGCAAGTAGGTGAAGACGGTCGGCTATCGGTATGGATATATCACGAAAAGTCTGAGTCAGGTGAATGGGACTCCGTTTAGTGGAGAAAAGACATGTCTGCGTTTTGGTAACATTAAATCTGACAAGATTGGCATCGCCCCAATCAGAGACTGCCTTAAGTGTCAAATTCAAACGACTAACCATGGACTCTCTACAAGACTGGATTTCTTCTAAACTGACCCTTGCATTGGTCAAGTACCTGTCCACAACTGTACCTGTAAAAGGTACCTGGAATCAACATATCGTTTATATGCAGCAGAAAGAGGGTTGCGGACAGTACAGAACCCTGAGGAATCTATCGTTCGATGTTCGGAAGAGTAGCCTAGAAGGCCACAGACCACTCGTATCGAACGTTCACTCAAGAAATCCGAAATCCAATTGCAAAGGTCAGTGGGAAGCCCATAAGAGGGAAGCTTCCTTGAGAGGCTTGCGTGCCAGACCCTGTCAAAGGCCTTAGAAATGTCTAAAGACCACTGCAATGGCTTCGCCATGCCCTTCTATAGCCTCACTCCATAAGTGTGAGGCGTACTGAAGATCCCCTGTACATCGCCCTCTTCGGAATCCGTACTGGCGATCACTGACGAGATCGTTGTCTTCAAGGTACGACAGGAGATGGTTGTTAAGTACAAGTTCCATAGTCTTGCAGAGTATGGAAGTGCCTAAGATAGGTCTATAGTTGACAGGGTCAGTTCTGCTTCCTTTTTTGGGCACTGATTGCACATTTGCAAGCTTCCATGACCTGGGAACTACACCAGTCTCAAGCGAGAGGCGATACAGGCTTGTGAGAATAGGAGCCAACTAAAGCGCACAGTTACAGGACTACTGCTGGAATTCCATCTGGCCTGCTAGCTTTATGCACGTCTAGTCTTCGCAGAGTTCTGAGTACCTCTTTTTGTCGTATGCGAACTGGCGCCATAGTGCAGCCAGTCTGATGTAAAGAAAGTGGGAGGTAACCTGCGGCATCCAGACGCGAACTCCCTGCAAAGAGTGAGGCGAAGAGATTCGCCTTCTCTTCTGAAGTGTGGGCCAGCGAGCCGTCTGGCCTCAGCAGAGATGGTAATGAGTGGCTACTAAAGTTTTTTTCGACCGCTTTGGCCAGGTACCAAAAGGACTTGCTGCCTGCTGGAAAAGAGGCAAGCTTGGCTCCTATGCGGCGCACATGGTCTAACTTGGCCCAGCGTAACACACTTTTGCTCTTCTTGGCGGCTTTATGGCTTTCTTCAGATTCCGAGTATTCGGAGCTTTGCGTAGTCGAGCATCTGCCCAAGCTTGGCACGCAGACTGTTTGTGCTTCTGCACGACTACAGTCGGCGTTAAACCATGGACGAGCTTGGGGTCCATTGGGTACATCGCAGTATGGTATATAATACTCCACGCCCAATCACAAGACCTCAATTACAGCATCAGCACAGCTCGACGAATCTCCTGAAGTAAAGCAAACTTGACAGGGATATGAAGTAAGAAAATGGCGCATTTCGTCCCAATCTGCTAACCTGTATCGCCACACCCGTCTCGTACCACTGGGGCCCTGATCGGGTGGGGAGTATTCGGATACAGCTTTCACCAGACCGTGGTCAGAGGTACCCAATGGTCCATCCACAAGCACCGAGTATCGATCTGGATCAGTTGTTAGCAGTAGTTCCAAGCAATTAGCCGTATGAGACTCAACATCTGAGATCCTTGTGGCGCCACTGACAAGCTGGGAAAGACTTAGCGATAACGCAAGTTTCCGCGTCTCTCTTCCAGCATGATCGGTCATCTGGTATGGGAACAACCATTCTTGGTGGTGTGCATTAAAGTCCCCCAGAATGACTAGTTGCGCCGCTGGATACCTGAGCTGAGCCTCATCAGACGTCTCGCTCAGATGTTGGATCAGCTTGGTTGTCTCCTGATCTCCACTGTGCGAGCGATAGACACTGCAGTATACTATTTGGGTAACTCCTGTGTCAACCAGAAGCCACAAAACAGAAAAACTCGGAGTCTGGAGGGTAAACCTACGGAAGCTAGCAACATCAACCCCCAAAAGGTCTTCTGAGAATATCCCAGTACCTGTTCCTGACTTTATTTTTGATTAGTGAAGACGCAAACCTCTCTGGGGTCCAGTCCTTCGTTGGGATCTTCAAACAATTGTATCTTGTATTTAACTAACTCTATGGTATTATTTTATTGAATCTAAGGGTCGTATTCCATAACTCTACTCAATGCTCAAGTCAGGACTTGAGTATTGCAGTGAGCACTGAATATCATACTCCAGTCCTTGCCATTAGGGTCGTATTTCCAGTGCTTGAAATCATACTCAAGTCTGCTTAAATCCTGACTTGAGCAATGAGTAGAGTTCTTGAATACGACTCTCAGTTACTTGTGATATTATGTTAATGCAATTCACAATAAATATTTCTTATTGCCAGTTTGTCCTAAATTACTTTTTAATTAACTGTCTGGGAACAAAGTCCCTTGTTCAATTGCATAAAACGTACCATTATCTCTCTCTTTATTAGAATTTTTATTGAACCAAATGAAAGAATGATTTTGCAATTAACATTACTGATAAACAGGAAAAGGTAAATGACATTTTATTTATTTGATATCAGTTGTTTTGATGTTTGTGTATGTTCAATTATATTTATGTAGAACTCTTGTGGCCAAATTTACGGTAACTTACTTCTTAAGGTTCCTATATAAAACTCAAATCAATAGGTTACTTAACTATATATAATTTTATATAAGTTTCATATTTGTATTGGTAACAAAATGTGATAAGTTACGAGGGGTTAAGTAATGAACTTGAACTGAACTATAAATGTGGAATATTTTGTTATTAAATAATATTAGAGAACACACATACGATTCTCTTA